ATTCACCAAGTATGGGTATTTATAGGGGCAAAGAGTGAGGGGGAGGAATTGAGGACCGTAGGATCACAAGTAATGAAGGGCTACGATCAGGGAGCAGGCGAACGGACGCTTATCTCAAACCGTAGGATTAAAGTAGAAAATCCAACGGCAGGAGGAAAAGAGGCGCATAAAGGGGTGTGAGGCTCGAGGCAGCGTGGGCCACGAGGTTATCATTATTTTCTGAGCAGCTGAAAAGACGCATCCCAAAAGGGCGGGCAAGTGACGAAATTCGAAATTCAAAAAAACGCAAAGTGGCGAACAGGAGAGGAAATGAACATACGGAAAAAGGAAATGGGTCAGTTGGTCGAAAACAAAGAAGCAGAACCTCCTCGACATAGACCGAAGCCTACTCTTAGATCGAGTCGTTCAGACTCGACCAGAGTGGGGGGACTAGATAATATGGGATATTATATACTAGACCGGTTCGATGGGCTAACCGGAGGAAATAGGCCAGTTCGTCGGATTACCTAAATAAGAACGGGTCGAATGATATGATCGATCAGGACCAGACACCTGCAATGGAGGACAGAGAGCAGACAGCAGAGACTAACGAGATCAGAAGTGGTCGACAAATACGAGTTACTCGAGGAGTTGGTCGAGGGAGGATGGTCGGATAGGGCGCGGTCATACAGAATTGGTCGAACATTGGAGCGCACAAAGGAATCCCCAGCACGTGAAAGGGAGGACACGCGGCGTGCTATGAGTGGGCGATAGCTATAACGAACTCTGACATTCTCTGACAAATGGGACGCGTTTCCTGACACCAAGGATAGTGGAGGCGCGCGGTTGTACGGACGAGCAGAGGACAGTTGGCCGAACTCGCCTTACCCGCGCGTGTAGAACATGTAGCTCGCCCTTATAAATAGAGGCGAGAAGCCTCACTTTGGACACAATCTCTCATACTCTCATATATTTATTGATATACTTTCTCTCTCAAGATCTGACTTGAGCGTTGGAGGCTCTTCACCGGAAAACACCTCCGGTGTGGGAGTTCCGTGCAGGTTCCGCGTTCAACCGGCGAGGAGAACGAGCTTAGGGTGACTTTCAGTCGGTCGGGGTGCGGGACTTGTATTAATGCAGATGTTTGTTTTGATCGAGCACGATGGCGAGTCGGCGACATGTAATCCATATAGCCGACCCCACTTAGTGAGATTTTAACGTATTGTTGGTTGTATAAGTATTTAATATATCTAATTAATATATGAACAATAAATAAAAATAAGTTTTAAAATTTTTTATTAGAAATTTATTTTTGGAATTATTTTATATAATATAATTTAATCATAATTTATAGTATTTATTTATTTATTATTATTATTTACTATTTTATTTTTTGAGAAATTGATTCCTACACATATAGGAATGAGAAAAGCCTTGCATTTGCTATGGAATGGCTAATCTCGTGAAGATAGATTTTGCAATTCACATTGGAATGGTCATTCCTTTCCAAAAAAATATACTAATCATGGGATAAAAAATGAGTAAGGGAATGATCATTTCATTCCCATGTCATTACTTCATACCAATCAAGTCATAAGTGTTTGAATAAAGTAGACTGCAAAATGAATTAAGAATAATTTTGCAATACTATTATGAGCTCCAAATGGTATGAATGTTTCTTATGAGGAAGTTAAAACAAAATAAATGAAACATACTTTTTTTTTTTCAAACAGCATAATCACTCATATAAAACCAAAATAAATGGAATGTACACGAGACGAACCCGAAACCGCAAACACTGGGAGGACAAGTCACAATGTATTGCCTAGACATCACACTAGCCAACCAAAACACTCACACACCTGCTCAAACTAGCTAATCCAGAACATAAAACATCTACCATAAACAATACATAACAAGAGTAGAGAGAGAGAGGAATACAACTGACACGAGACCTAGTGGACACTCTTCTACAAATGCTATTTCTTGGATCTGCCAAGAGAGAATTCGAGCCAGTCCTGCAAGGCTGATTTCACAATCCACATTTCAGACTGCCATTGCCTCTCGAAGACCCACAACCTGAAACATGCTTTTGAATAATCTAACATGAATAAATAAATACTAGTATATCTATAATATAATTAGGTCCTTATTTGATGGTTTAGCTTATCGATGTCCTTGAGTCCGAGTGTTTTTTTTTTTTCATTAGGGAGTCATTTTGATATATTTTTGTTAGAGTTATAATATGTTATTTGATTCTTTTTAAATAGGACATCGTTATGTTATTATTGAAAAAAATATTTAGGAGTTCATGTGTTTTACATTTTATTTTGTTCTTGCAATGAATTATTTATTAAATTAATTAACTTTTTTTACTTAACTTAATTGACCAAAAATATTTACCAACATGTGTGTACTTTACTAATAAAATGCACTTTACTCATAAGTAGGAATGACATTGTTTTTGAATAGGACCGGTCTCCAGCGGGTTGACCCGAGCCCCGGTCGACCCAGAGCTGGAACCGGTCCGCGTGGGTTGTCCGGACCGAGCAGCAAAGCACCCGGTCAAAACCCGGCCAATCCGACCTTGACCCGGGACATTGACCCAGCTTGGTCAACTCGGTTGACACGACCCCTATATATATTTTTTTTTTATTTTTTAAAATATATTTTTTTAAAAAAATAAAACTACGTATATATATTTATAAGGTAAATATTTATCATGAAATGCATATTATAACACTTTAATGAACAAATTTTATATACAAAACATTTAGTTTTGTTACTTTTTATGTATATTTTTTGAGATTCCAGCCAAAATAGTAGTCAAATGTGGTGGCTTACCCACCCTTATTGAAAATAAAAAAATTAATAAAATAAAATAAAAAGGAAAGAAAGAAGAATCTGCAGTCGTAATTTTCTTTCTGGTTCACATTGCTCAACCCCCTCTATAATTAGAGGGGGCATTCTACAGAAGAAAAGCACACCAAAAGAGAGAAGAAAAATAGCACATTCAGTTTTTGGAGTGTTAGATTTTTCAGTGGGAGAAAAATAGAGTGTTTGAATAAATCCTGTGAGTGTAAGGAAAATTCAACGGGTTGGGTATCATCTTTATTACTCCTTGTTTGTAATATTTGAATAGGAGTGGGGTCTCACTGGGTCACTATATTTTACATTTCTAGTGTAGGGGGTGTGAAAAGATATTGTAATTATCTTGAAAATATAGTGGAATTGTTCGGAAGTTGTCCCGTGGTTTTTTCCCCTACATTGGAGGTTTTTTCACGTTAATCTTGGTGTCTTCTTTCTTGCATATTTTATTTATTTGGGATATTCTTAGTATGATCTGTGGTCACAGTTTATCTGATCTTCCAAAGCAGAAAAGAATTATTCCTGTTTTATGGCAAGAGATTTCTTTTGTTATTCGTGAGTTGCTGGGATTGAGATTATTGTTCACCATTTTCACCGGTTATTTAATTTATATCTTCTGCATTTGCGCATCCGAGCCCAACAAGTGGTATATGAGCTGGCTCCGTATCAACCAGTGTAAATTAAATGGAGGAGAACGTGGGCACTATGGTGAAACAGACAACAACAAATTACTCCATTTGAAAGCAAAAAATGGAGGACATACTTTCCGACAAAGATCTGTATGATCCTGTAGAAAAGAAAAACATCAAGAGATGATGTGAAGGATGATGATTGTAAAAAATTATAGAGGAAGGCTGTCAGTTTAATCAGACAGTGGGTGGATATCAGCATATTCCACTGTGTTTTCACAGAGTCGAAAGCCCATACTTTGTGCAACAAAATTGAACAAATGTATCATAGCAAGACTGCACAGAATAAAGCTTTCGTCATTAGAAAACTTATAAATTTGAAATATCGGGATGAAAAATCAGTTGCAGAACACTTGAATGAGTTTCAAGACATGGTGAACCAACTTGTTACCATGAGGATGAAACTTGATGAAGAACTGCAGGCGCAGTTACTTTTGAGTTCTTTACCGGATAGCTGGGAGACTCTGGTGGTCTCGTTGAGCAACTCTGCTCCTGAAGGTAAACTGACTTTGACCCAAGTCAAAGACAATATGTTTAATGAAGAAACAAGAAGAAAAGACTCCGGGGCAGGCAACTCTCAAGCCATGGTCACAAAAACCATGGGGAGAAGTAAAAGCAGAGGCCGGAATAACAAATCCAAGGATAAATCACAATATTAACCCATGATAAAGTGTTATCACTGCGGTGAAGAAGGGCATATCAAAAGAAACTACATAGCCTGGAAGAACAGAGATCGAAGGAACAATAAATCAGAGAACGATGAAAATTCTGCAACCTCTATGATCAATGGGGAAGTGGTGTTGCTCTCTGTTGAAGAAGAAGAGTGTCATGTTGCAGATTCATGTGTTGAATGGGTCATTGACTCAGCCGCATCTTATCATGCATCCTCTCACAAGGAATTCTTTTCTCTATACAAAGAAGGAGACTTTGGTAGAGTAAAAATGGACAACAAAAAAAAAGATGGACAACAACAGCATTGCAAATATTGTGGGAGTTGGTGATGTGTGCATTCAAACTGAAATTAGGTGCACAATAACACTAAAATATGTGCAACATGTACGTGATTTACGTTTGAATTTGATCTTTGTACATGCATTAGATCTAGCAGACTATACTAACAATTTTGGTAGCGGCACGTGGAGGCTTACCAAATGATCATTGTTAGCTGCTAGAGGCACAGTGAGATCGACACTGTACAAAACTCAAGTGAAGTTGATCAAAGGTGGACTGAATGCAGTCGAGGATGATGCTTCGACAAATTTGTTGCACAACAGACTGACTCATATTGGTGAAAAAGGATTACAAATTTTGGCAAGAAAGTCCCTCATCCCATTTGCCAAAGATTTAAAACTAAATCCTTGTGATTATTGTCTCTTTCGGAAGCATCATAGAGTGTCTTTCAGCAAAACCTAGAAGCTGAAAGAGAATATTTTGGAGATGGTGTATTCTGATGTATGTGGACTCATGGAAGTGGAGAGTCTCGGTGGTAGCAGATATTTCGTGAGGTTTATTAATGATTCTTCTCGAAAATTGTGGGTGTACTTCTTGAGAATAAAGGACCAAGTTTTCCAGTACATCAAAAGGTTTCATGCTATGGTGGAGAGGCAGACTGGTAAACCTTTGAAGTGTCTTCGCTCAGATAATGGAGGGAAGTATACTTCCCATAAATTCAAAAATTATTGTGTCGTGCATGGCATCAGGCATGAGAAGACTGTACCTGGAACCCCACAGCATAATGGTGTGGCTGAAAGAATCAATAAAACCATTATGGAGAAACTGAGGTGTATGTTAAGAGTGACTAAGCTACCTAAGCCATTCTGGGGTGAAACTGTTCTAACGGCGTGCTACCTGATCAACCGATCTCCATCTGTTCCTTTGGGCTTTGATATCCCTGAGAGAGTATGGTTTGGACATGATGTTAAATACTCTCATTTAAAGGTGTTTGGATGCAAAGCTTTTGCTCACGTAAGCAAGGAACAAAGAAGAAAACTTGATGATAGAGCCATTCCTTGTATATTTCTAGGCTATGGAGATGAGGAATTTGGCTACAGATTATGGGATCAAGAAAATCAATAAAATTATCAGAAGCAGAGATGTAGTGTTCCATGAGCAAGAAACTATGTTTGATCTGCTTCACCAGAACTAGAGAACCAAGTGATAAGGTGGATCTTTCACCTGTCAAACCTCCTGAGATGCCACAACAGGGGGAGAGTGCGATGGAGAACTCAGGGTTGATGATGAGCCAACAATAGAATATGGTGATGGTGAAGGTATCGAGCAAGAAGGCCTCGAAGCCTCGCTCAGCTCAGGAGATCAAACCGAGTGATCGAACCGTCTATCAGATACCCTAGTTCCACGTATATTACCATCACTTAAGAAGGGGAGCCAGAAAGCTTTGAAGGAGTACAGACTCATAAGGATGAATCTCAGTGGATGAAAGCCATGCAAGAAGACATAGATTCACTGTGAAAATGAAACTTATGAGCTTGTGAAGCTTCCGAAGGCAGGAAAGCCTTGAAAAATAAAGGGGTGTTCAAGCTTAAGAAAGATGGTGACAAGTTGTTGATGTACAAGGCTCGCTTAGTTGTGAAAGAATTTGGACAAAAGCGAGGAATAGACTTCGATGAGACATTTTCTCCAGTTGCAAAGATGAGCCTATTCGAGTACTACTCGGATTGGTGGCTAACTCAGATTTAGAGCTTGGACAACTAGATGTGAAGACTGCATTTCTTCATGGAGACCCAGATGAAGAAATCTACATGGAGCAACCAAAAGGATTTGAGAAGACTGGAATTGAGCACATAGTTTGCAGATTGAAGAAGAGTCTATATGGACTGAAACAAGCTCTAAGACAGTGGTATAAAAAATTTGACTCATTTATGGCGAGTCATGGATATACCAAGACTGATGCAAATCATTGTGTGTTTCTTAAGAAATGTCCAGGTGATAAATTCATTATCCTTTTGTTCTATGTAGATGATATGTTGATAGTGGGACATGATATGAAGCTGATTGGTGATTTGAAGGAGTTAGCAAAATCCTTTGATATGAAGGATCTGGCCTTGTGAAACAAATTTTTGGCATGCAGATCATGTGAGACCGAAAATCTAAGATGTTATGGTTATCGCAAGAATGGTATGTGAATCGGATTCTGGAGAGATTCAACATGAAATCGGCTAAGCCGGTCAATACACCGTTAGCCAATCACTTCAAACTCAGCAAACAAAGTTGTCTTACGAGTCGAGAAGAAAAAGAAGCTATGGCGGGTGTTCCATACTCCTCGCCAGTCGTGAGTTTGATGTATATCATGGTTAATACAAGACCAGATATCGCTCACGCGGTTGGAATTGTTAGAAGATATCTTTCCAATTTTGGGAAGGATCATTGAGAAGTTGTGAAGTGGATCTTGAGGTACCTAAAAGGTAGTGCAAGAAAATGCTTGAGCTTGGGTAAATGAAACCCAGTTCTTGAAGGTTATACCTATGCAGTTATGACAAGTGACCTGGATAGTAGAAAATCTACTTTAGGGCTTGTGTTTACATTCGCAGGAGGAGCTGTATCTTGGCAATCTAAATTGGAAATCTGTTGTCTTGTTGACTACTGAAGCAGAGTATATTGCAATGACAGAAGCAAGAAAAGAAATGCTTTGGTTGAAGAGTTTCTTCAACAATTGGGAATGAAACAGAAAAGGTATGATATCCATTGCGATAGTCAGAGCGCATTGGATTTAAGTAAGAATGCGATATACTACTCTCGCAAGAAGTATATTGATGTAAGATATCATTGGTTACGTCAAGCAGTGGAAGAACAATAGTTCAAATTGGAAAAGATTCACACGAACGAAAATCCTACTGACATGATGACGAAGATTGTAACAAGGGGAAAGCTTCAGCTTTGTGCCGAGTTGATCAGCATGGAATGCATGTAAAGAATTGCAGTATATTTTCCTTTGGCTGGAGGGGGAGAATTGTCAGATTCCAGCCAAAATAGTAGCCAAATGTGGTGGCTTAGCCACCCTTATTGAAAAAAAAAAAAATATAAAATAAAATAAAAAGGAAAGAAAGAAGAATCTGCAGCCGCAATTTTCTTTCTGGTTCACATTGCTCAATCCCCTCTATAAATAGAGGAGGCATTCGGCAGAAGAAAAGCACACCAAAAGAGAGAAGAAAAATAGCAAATTCAGTTTTTGGAGTGTTAGATTTTTCAGTGAGAGAAAAATAGAGTGTTTGAGTAAATTATGTGGGTGTGAGAAAAATACACCGGGTTGGGTATCATCTCTATTACTCTTTGTTTATAATATTTGAATAGGAGTGGGGTCTCACTAGGTCACTATATTTTACATTTCTTGTGTAGGGGGTGTGAAAAGATATTGTAATTATCTTGAAAATATAGTGAAATTGTTCGGAGGTTGTCCCGTGATTTTTCCATCTACATTGGAGGTTTTTTCACGTTAAATTTTGGCGTCTTCTTTTTTGTATATTTTATTTATTTAGGATATTCTTAGTATGCTCTGTTGTCACAGTTTAATCCGATCTTCCACATTAGAAAAAAATTATTATTGTTTTATTCCAAGAGATTTTTTTTGTCATTCGTGAGTTGTTGGGATTGAGATTATTGTTCATCATTTCACATCGGTGATTTAATTTATATCTTCCGCATTTGCTCATTTGAGCCCAACATATTTATGGTAAAATACTCTATATATAATTCAAGATCTTTTAAAATTAATTCTCCTGTTCAACAATTCATCCGATAACCCGACAGTTGAACTAGCCAACCGGAGATTCTTGGCCGGTTTAAAAATTATGAGGAATGGAATACGGTAGCAATCATTTCTCAAGATTTATGCGTGTCATACTAGCAAAGTAGCAATCATGATTCATATTTTGTGGGAAGTAATATAAAGCAGAGCGAGTGTGACTCGTCACTCGTGATATATGCCGCAGTCCAAAGCCATAAATGGACTCGGTGGGCCCAAATCCGAAGAAAGCAAACTTTATATTACTCGAGAGATTTTGTTAATCAATTCAAAACTTTGATAAAAAAAAAAAAAAAAAAAAAAATGGCATAAAATCGTCTGCTGATAAAGGCAACTGTACTGTAATCCCTTTTGTATTAGTATGATTTGCTGCTGCTATTCGTTCTGTTCATCTCCATTTTTTTTTTTATATGAACCTCTTACTCGCACCTGCTGCATGATATGTCCCCAAACCTCCAAAAACTTTCAGATAATCTACTTGGTTTTTAATCACTCTACATTTGTGGGTTTTTTTAGCATTTTTCTAGCATCCTTTGTTTTCTGCTTGAGAAAAATACAGATGAAGCTAAAAGGAAAAATTTCATGTGGGTTTTTGTAGGGGGAAAGAACAACCAAGAAAGCAACGATTTTTTT